CATACTTCTTCAACTTGCTGGCAAGAATACTGTGGGAGACTGTATCAAAAGCTTTGCTAAAGTCAAGGTATATCACGTCCACCGCTTTCCCCATATCCACAAAGCCAATTATTTCATCATAGAAGGCAATCAGGTTGGTCAGGCATGACTTGCCCTTGGTGAATCCATGTTCCCTGTTCCTAATCACCTTTCTCTCCTCCAAGTGCTGCTAAATGGATTCCTTGAGGACCTGCTCCATAATTTTTCCGGGACTGAGGCGAGGCTGATGGATCTGTAGTTCCCCGTATTATCTTTCTTCCCTTTTTTTAAAGATAGGCACTATATTTGCCTTTTTCCAATCGTCCGGGACCTCCGCCGATTGCCATGAGTTTTCAAAGATAATGGCCAGTGGCTTTGCAATCACATCAGCCAACTCTCTCAGCGCCCTAGGATGCATTGCATCCATCCCCATCGACTTGTGCATGTCCAGCTTTTCTAAATAATCCTTAACCTGTTCTTTAACCTGTTCATATACACTTTGGCACCCTGTCAGAAGCAACATAGACCACCTTTCCGGCCACACTCCCTATGCCCCATACAAGGTCACCTACTCTTGGTATCAGGAGCCTGCACGACACTGCCCCCAGTCCCCAGGGCTTCTACTCTCCGTACTTTCTCAACCTGAAAAAGGGAGGAGGACTCTGCCCTATACTTGATCTCCAACTACTCAATATATATATCAGGAAAACCAGGTTCTGTATAGTGACACTCACTTCCATCATCCCCTCCCTTTCCAGGAGGCATAGCTCTGGACGTGAAGGATGTGTACTACCACATCGACATCCATCTGGGCCACCGCAGGCTTCTTTGCTTCCGCGTGGGCGACGAGCACTACCAGTTCAGACTTCTCCCCTTTGACACTGTGATGGCCCCAAGAGTCTTCACCGAAGTCTTCGTGGTCATGGCTGCTCCAACTAAGACTACTGGGGTACTCCGTGTTCCCTTTCTTAGATGACTGGCTTCTGGTGGCACCATCCCTCCCCAAGATGGCATTGATCATCCGTCCTCTCCGCTCTCTTCTCACCATTCTCGTCGGCTTGATGTCTGTTTCAATGAGGAGAAATCTGTGCTCATCTTGATGCAGACAGTCCACTTAATCGGAGCATGCCTGGATTCTGTAGCAACTCAGGTCTTTCTCCTGGCAGGATATTTCGCTGCCCTGATGGCCCTACACTACAACTCACACACCAGAGTGGTGCGCCGCTGTCTCTCTCTCCGTGGGCATATGGCAGCCTGCACCCATGTGACTCTGCATGGCCATCTGCACTTGCGCTGTCTACTGCTGTGGCTCCTATCAGTCTGCAGACCACACTTCGACCACATGGCCGCCACACTGATTGTCTCACATCCAGTCCAGGCCTCCCTCACATGGTGGCCCAACCCTTTCAAGTGATGATAGGTACTTCCTTTGCCACTCCTTTCCCAACCACCTCCCTAGCCAGTTGGGGGTGCCCACCTGGTCAGCCATGCCACCCAAGGGGCTTGGATTCAGCATGAAGCCCACATACACATCAATATCCTGGAGATGCAGGCGGGGTTCGCCTCATCTGCCATATGTTCCTGCCCCTTATCTGAGCTCTCCACATTCAGCTCCTTTCTGACAATACCACTGCGGTGGCATACGTAAACAGGCGGGAGGGCACCAAGTCCTAGTCACTTTGTGCGGAGTCCATCCGCTTCTGGAACTGGTGTATCCACCACAATGACCTCCTCCATGCAGCGTACCTCCTGCAAGTGCAGAACTCTCTTCGGACACACTCGGATGGACCTGGTACCTCAATTAAGAGTGGGAGCTACACATACCACTCCACTCCGTCTGCCATGCCTGGGGCACTCTTCACTGGGACTTCTTCACCACTCACAAAAACCGCAAGTTTCCCCTCTACTGCTCCTGGGGGACCATGGAGCGCAATTCCCAAGGCAATGTTCTCCTTCTTCTGTGGTGGGACGGTCTCTGCTATGCCTTCCCCCATTCCCCTCCTTTCCCAAATACTGCGCAGGATCTGTTGCAATTGAGCCACAGTCCTACTGATAACTCTGTTTTGCTCTGACACTTCTGGTTTTCAGACTCTCCGCCCGCCCCTCAATCTACTTCCTCACACTGCCAGACCTCCTCACCCAGCACCAGGGCAGAGTCTGACATCCCAGCTCAGGCCCGCTTCACCTCACAGCCTGGTTTTTGGATGGGACTTGCATGTAAACAATGCCTGCTTGACATCGGTACATTACCTACTTAATCAGCAGACGAGAACATAAGAATGGCCATAGTGAATCAGACCAAAGGTCCATCTAGTCCAGTATCCTGTCTTCCGACAGTGGCCAATGCCAGGTACTTTAGAGGGAATGAAGAGAACAGGTAGAGATCAAGTGATCCATCCCCTGTTGCCCATTCCCAGCTTCTGGCAAACAGAGGCTAGGGACACCATCCCTGCCCACCCTGGCTAGTAACCACTATCCTCCATGAATTTATCTAGTTCTTTTTTGAACTCTGTTATAGTCTTGGCCTTTACAACATCCTCTGGCAAAGAGTTCCACAGGTTGACTGTGCCTTGTGTGAAAAAGTAATTCCTTTGGTTTGTTTTAAACCTGCAGCCTATGAATTTCATTTGGTGACCCCAGGTTCTTGTGCTATGAGGAGTAAATAACACTTCCTTATTTACTTTCTCCACACCAGTCTTGATTTTTATAGACCTCTATCAAATCCCAAGCTGAAAAGTCCCAGTCTTATTAATCTCTCCTCATATGGAAGATGTTCAATACCCCTAATCATTTTTGTTCCCCTTTTCTGTACCTTTTCCAATTCCAGTATATCTTTTTGTGAGATGGGGTGACCACTTCATGCAGTATTCAAGATGTGGGCGTACCATGGATTTATATAGAGGCAACATATTTTCTGTCTTACTGTCGCTTTTCTAATGATTCCGAACATTCTGTTAGCTTTTTTGACTGCCATTGTATATTGAGTGGGTGTTCCCAGAGAACTATCCACAATGACTCCAAGATCTATTCCTTGAGTGATAACAGCTAATTTAGACCCCATCATTTTATATGTATAATTGGGATTGTTTTCCAATGTTTATTACTTTGCATTTATCAACATTGAATTTCATCTGCCATTTTGTTGCCCAGTCGCCCAGTTTTGTGAGATCCCTTTGTAACTCTTCACATTCTGCTTTTCACTTAACTATCTTGAGTAGTTTTGTGTCATCTGCAAATTTTGCAACCTCCTGTTTACCCTTTTTTCCAGATTGTTTATAAATATGTTGAACAGTACTGGTCCCAGAACCAGACCCCTGGGGGACACCAATTTTTACTTCTCTCCATTCTGAGACCTGGTGATTTATTCCTACTCTTTGTTTCCCTTTTGTGAGGGAGCTTATCAAAGGCTTTCTGAAAATGTAAGTACACTATATCCACTGGATCCCCCATGTCCATATGCTTGTTGATCCCCTCAAAGAATTCTAATAGATTGGTGAGGCATGATTTCCCTTTACAAAAACTATGTTGACTCTTCCCTGACAAATCATGTTCACCTAGATGAGCTTCCACACAGGCTTACTATGCTGTGAAATTGAAGCATTTCACCTCCTTGGTGCAATGCCAGCATCTCCCCCTTAGTGATGTCTCCGTCCCCACCATCCTGGACTACTTCCTGGATTTAAAGACTTCAGGCCTTTCCCTCAGCTCAGTCCAAGTCCACTTTATGGTATTTAGTGCCTTCCTCCCACCAATGGATGGCCACTTGGTGTTTTCCCACCCCTCCACCACCTGCTTTCTGAAAGGGCTGATGAACACTTCCCACCAGTCCTTAAACCAACTCCCCCCTGGAACCTCAATCTTGTACTTTCTGCCCTCATCAGACCTCCCTTCGAGCCCCTGGCCACATGTTTCCTCTAACACTTATCCATGAAGGTCATATTTGTCCTGGCCATCACTTCCACTAGGCAGGTCAGCGAATTGGGAGCCATGATGGCTGACCTCCCCCATAAACTTCCATAAAAAGTTTTGTTGCATCTTTACCCTATGTTTTTCACAAAAGTGGTCTCTGAGTTCCACCTCAACCAGTCAGTCCATCTCCCGGTCTTCCATCCTAAGCCATACTTCACTCCAACAGGCAGGACTCCGCACTCATAGGATGTCCGCTGTGCACTTGTGTTCTACCTTGACAGGACCCGCGTCTTTTGCACCTCTCCATGCCTTTTCATAGCCCTTGCAGAAAGGTTGCTAGGCCAAGCCCTTTCTTCACAGCTCATATCAAAGTGCATCTCTACATGCATCATAGAGTGCTACAGGTAGTCAGGATTACAGCCCACTGCTTCACGTACAGCTACCTCCGCCTCCCTAGTGGACATCCCCTGGCAACACATATACCGGGTGGCAACCTGACGCTCTCTGCATATCTTCACCATCTACTGTGCCATCGCCCAGGGAGTGACGGAAGATGCAGCTGTGGGCTGTGCTGTCCTGCAGACAGCGATACCTCGTTTGTCCTCATACCCGCCTCCAAGCTGATCTTTGCTTGATGCTCACCTGCATTTGGATACATATAGGAACCATCACTCGAAGAAGAAGAAGAGGAGGTTACTTACCTGTAACTGGATGTGTGATCCCTATTTGTATTCCAATACCCACTCACTGCCCCTCTGGTACGGACTGCGCTACTCAGTGCGAAGAGGGTGACTGAGGGACCGTCTCCCTGCATAGCCTCTTAACCTCACCTGGAGCACGAGGTAACATATGACGCACATGCACATCAGTGGACACTGCTACTGAAAACTTCCTGCTTCAATGTATGGCGCACATGTGCACCCAAGTTTGGAATACAAATAGGGACCACGTATATTGAAGAACTGCCAGTTACAGGTAAGTCATTTCCTCTTTCATGACTATTATGTGGGCAAAATCTCAGCCATGATGTTATGTGCATTATGGCAGTAGTCTACTTTGTTTTATTCAAACAGGAACGTCCAGATAATCCATGGGGCAAAGTATCTGTTAATCTTTATTTTGATGGGATGTCACTTTCTTCCTTTATGGCATACCACAAATACTGCATTTTTGAAGATTGTCCGGATATATCAAATCTGGTAAGTAAGATTTATTTTTTGCTTTTGCTGCTCTAGTGGCTCTGAAAGATTAAACATTTAATCAGTTTGTGGTTGTGACCTTCCCCCCAGGTTATTGTCATTAATACTTTGTCACACTTTAATGCCTTTTTGTTTTGTTGTATATTACTAATGTCTGAAAATGTATAAATCAGCAATGTCAAAGGCATAGTTTGCAAGTAGAAAAAAACATAGGTACAACTTCTTGCCAAAGTGACATGGAAATTCCTAGGGAATTGCAAACTCTTCGCTCTTGAATTCATCCAACAGTGATAACTGTACTGAAAATGATAGCTACTTAATTTTAAATTTTATTAATGAATTTATTATTCTAAACTGATATAAAACTTACAGTTCTTCTTCGAGTGATTGCTCATGTGCATTCCAATAGGTGTGTGCATGCGCTGTGTGCACCATCGCCGGAAAGCTTTTCCCCGAGTGGTACCCATCAGTTAGGCTGTGGAGACCCCTAGAGTGACACCTTTATGGCAGTGTATATATGTCCCTGCCGACCCACCGCCTGCTCAGTTCCTTCTTACCGCCCAATACGGTCGTTGGAACAGCTCAGTCTTTTGTATCTGCAAATGCCTTACCTAGTGGTTCCCTTGTTTTTGTGTGAATAGTCGTTAGTTAGTTGTTAATAGTTGTAGATCTGTTTAGCTTACTTCAGGGGGCTTCCCCCCCTTCTACTCTCCCCGGCGCCAGGGCATGCCTCGGTTGCAGGGGTTTAAGCTGTGCTAGTGGTGGGCAAAACCTATGTCCACAAGTGATCCTCACGCCACCTGTCTCAAGTGCCTCAGGGAGGGCCATCAAACAGATAAGTGCCCAATTTGCAGGAGCTTCAGATCCCAGACTAAGAGGGAGCAGGACTATCGTCTAAAGCTCCTCCTGATGGAGTCGGCCCTTCAGCCAGAGCCGACACTGGCATCCTCAGTGTGCAGCGCACTGGCCTCGGTGTGGGATGTCCTGGCATCGAGGAAGGACTCCACCAGCGAGCACCAGCACCGCTCCCCGGCCCATAAGGCCAGTGCCATGAGGCGTCACTGTTCACGTTCCTGGTGCCGCATAAAGAAAAAGAAACCAGACAGGGGACGTTCCCTTGTCAAGAAACCGAGGGGGGATTCCAGTGGGGTGCATCCTCCGGCGGGACACCCTCGGTCTGGTGCTCAAGAATCGGTGCCGTTGACTCCGGCCCCAGTGGCAGAGCCATTGAATCCGGTGAGAATGGACTCCCCTACCCGGGACGATTTGGAGGAAGAGCTTGACCTCCCTTCCACTCCGGACACACATGAGATAGTTCGAGACCTCATTGCCATGATGGCACAGTACCTGGCTTCGCAAACTCAGGCACCACCAGTAGCACCGGCGACGGCACAACTGCGGCGTCGAGCCCGGCACTGCGGACGGCTCCGACATCCGTCACGGCACCGATGGCAGCACCGCCATTGATTCATCATCGGGGGAAGCCCATGATGTTGCAGCACCGATCTCCGTCTCCCCAGTACAGCTCACTGGTACCATCAGGCTCTGGTCCCCCATGGTCGGGTACAGTATACTCGTCAGAGTCGGACGCCGAATCGTCTGTCTCCCGAAGCAGCCACTCCCGGTCCCAGCACCGTAGGCCAGCGGAACAACCGGCACCAGCCATCACTTGGCCACCCTAGTGGCATTGCCCAGTACAATGGCCCTTTTGGACCCCTAGGCCCTACCACCAGGCTCAGGGATCCAGGCCGGTATCTGTAGTGTCGGCCCCCCCGTGCCCCTCCATCAGCAACATCGCTGGCACGCTACACCCCTAGGGCCCCTGAGGATTCCATACAAGACAGGGCTACTGAGCTGCCACAGGCAAGCGCAGTCCCTCCTCCACCGACGTCGGTGGCTCCTGAACCTCTGGTCGTGGGGAGCTCCGAAGTACCTGACCCGATCTCCAGAAAACCAGAGGGGCCGGAAGACCCCGTCCCGGGAACCGCTTCACTGGACGAGGCAGTGGTGGGCACATCTACCACTCTACCACCACTGGACACCAAAGGCTTCCAAGACCTGCTCAGGAGGGTGGCAGTTAACCTTAACCTCCAGGCAGAGGAGGTTATGGAGAATGTGGATCCAATGGTGGACATCCTCACTCCCGAGGGTCCTTCTAGAGTGGCCTTGCCCCCATAAGGACAGTTCAGAACACCATGAAGGTGCTCTGGCAAACCCTGGCCTCTATACTACCAATGGCTAAAGGGGGTCAAGAGACGCTACTTTGTGCCGCAAAAGGGCTATGAGCACCTTTTTACCCACCCCCAGCCGGGGACTCTGGTGGTGGTTGCGGCAAACCACAAGGAGTGGCAAGGACAGCCAGGCCCTGCACCTAAGTCACGGGACACCAAGAAGCTGGATCTCTTTGGCCGTAAAGTCTATTTGACTGGTGGGCTCCAGCTTCGAGTAGCGAATCAGTAGGCAGTGCTTAGCCAATACGCCTTTAATTCCTGGAGTTTGTTGGCTAAGTTCCAGGAGTTAATCCCAGCCGACTCTCAAGGAGTTTGGTGCGCTCCTTGAAGGGGGTAGAGTGGTGTCTAGGACCGCCCTCCAGGCAACACTGGACGCGGCGGACTCTGCGGCTCGAACCATGGCCACCGCCATTGCAATGAGGCGCAGTGTGTGGCTCCAGGTTTTGGGTATCCCACTGGAGGTCCAGAATACCATACAGCACCTCCCCTTTGACTGCAAGAGCCTGTTCGCTAAAAACAAGGACACGGGCCTGCATAGCCTAAAGGACTCTTGCGTGACTCTGAAGTCTCAGGGGCTACGCACCCCAGCGCCTCAGAGAAAGCCCTTTACACCTCAGCCCCCGTCCCGCTTCTACCCTGGGCCTCCTAGATGAGATCCATCAAGGAGAAGGGGCAGGAATAGTAGGAGGCGCCCACCGCACTCCTCCTCGGGCCAAGGCCAGGGTTCAGCCAAATAGGCTTGGGGCCAGTGGGCTAACTTTTGAAGATGCGCCGGAGGACGGCGCACCAGTCGCCATCTTGGATTTCCCCCCCCCCCCCCTTTTGTGAATCGACTCTCCCGCTTCTACCATGTTTGGTCTCAGATCATGTCAGACCGCTGGGTCCTCAGCATGGTAGGGGCATGATATTCTATCCAATTTTATTCCCTCCAGCCCTCCTGTCCCTCTTCAGGGACCCCTCTCACGAGCAGCTCCTTTTACAGGAGGTGCAATCGCTCCCAGCTCTAGGGGCAATAGAGGAGGTTCCTCAGGAATTCAGGGGCAAGGGGTTCTACTCCCGCTATTTCCTCATCCCCAAGGCCAAGGACGGGCTTCAGCCTATCCTGGACCTACGAGACTGCAACACATTCATAAACAAGGTGAAGTTTCGCATGGGCTCTCTGGCCACCAACATTCCCTCCATGGATCTGGGAGACTGGTACGCCGCCCTCGACTTGAAGGATGCGTACTTCCACATTGCTATTATCCCAGCCCACAGACCCTTTGTCAGATTCGTGGTCAGTGGCCACCACTACCCGTTCAGGGTGTTCCCATTTGGCCTCTCAATGGCCCCCCGGGTGTTCACCAAGTGTATGGTGGTCGTGGCAGCCTTCCTCCGCAGGCACCAGGTGCAGGTATTCCTGTATCTGGACAACTGGCTCATCAAGGCCGAGTCCAAAGCATGGGTGGCAGAACACATGTCCCTGGCCAAGGCTACGTTTCATAGGCTGGGACTTATATTGAACGAGCCCAAGTCCACATTGACCCCCACACAAAGAGTAGAGTTCATCGGCACTCTCTTGGACTCCACGCACGCAAGGGCATTCTTTCCGGAACTGCGTTTCAAGCGCTCGTGGACATTATCAAGCCCCTACTCCGCTTTCCCACAACCATGGCCAGAAATTGTATGAAACTATTGGGGCACATGGCAGCCTGTACATACGTGGTACAGTACGCCAGGCTGCGCTTTCAGCCCCTCCAGGCATGGTTAGCACAAGTGCACAGACTGGGCAGGGACCCATTGGACTCAATAGTGACCCTCCCGCCTCGGATTCTCAACTCTCTCCACTGGTGGTGGCAACCACTGCTGGTTTGTGCGGGAGTACCCTTTGCCAAGCCCCAACCTATGCTCTCCCTGGTCACGGATGCCTTGGTGCTCAGTTGGGGAGCACATCTGGGCAATATCAAAACCCAGGGCCTCTGGCCCATACAGGGCTATCCCTGAACATCAATGTAAGGGAGTTGAGGGCGGTTCGCCTGGCATGCCAAGCAGTCCAGGCCCTCCTTCAGGGCACGTGCATATCAGTACTCATGGACAATACTGCAGCGATGTTCTATATAAACAAACAGGGTGGTGCTCGCTCCTCTCCCCTGTGTCGGGAAGCCCTCATGCTGTGGGACTTTTGCATTGCCCATTCTATACACCTACAGGCGTCGCACCTTCTGGGGGCGCAGAACGAGCTGGCCAACTGACTCAGTCGCTCGTTCCATGGATACAAGTGGTCCCTCAGACCGGACATGGCTCATTCGATTTTTCCAGAGGTGGGGCTCTTCCTACATGTACCTGTTCACAGTGAGGGGCAACAGGAAGTGCCAGAGGTTCTGCTCCTTCCTGAACCACAGCCCAGGCTCCACCGTGGACGCCTTTCACTTGTCATGGACGGATCACCTGTTGTACGCGTTCCTGCCATTCCCCCTCATACACAGAGTGCTTCTCAAGACTCGTCAGGACAGGGGTTCTTTGATCCTCATAGCGCCAGTGTGGCCTCGACAGCACTGGTTCACCATGTTACTGAACCTCTCAGTGGACAGACCTGTAGTGCTCCCTCTCTGTCCAACCGTAATCACACAGGACAGGACCACGGCTGTCTGCAACCCCCCAACCTGGAGTCCCTCCACCTCATGGTGTGGACGCTCCATGGTTGAACCCTCTTGAGCTTCAGTACTCTCACTCAGTGAGGGAGGTCCTGTTAGGAAGTAGGAAATCCTCCACTCGAGCCACGTACCCGGCTAAGTGGAAGCATTTCTCCATTTGGTCTTGACAAAGGGGAACTGAGCCACAATCAGCCCTAATTCTCATTACTTTGGATTATCTTTTATATGTCAAGCACCAAGGGTTAGCGATATCACACCTTGCGGCCATTTCGGCCTTTCACCTTTCATTTCGGTAACCCCATGGTGAGCAGGTTTCTTAAGGGCCTGGACAGACTTTATCCCCCGGTACAACGGCTTGTTCCCCAGTGGGACCTCAACCTGGTCCTGTCCTCACTCATGGGGCCCCCCTTTGATCCCAGGGCTACCTGCCCGCTGTCCTACCTCTCCTGGAAGGTGGCCTTTCTGGTAGCTATAACCTCTGCTAGAACGGTATCCGAGCTCAGAGCACTGACCTCTGAACCTCCTTATACGGTATTTTATAAGGACAAGGTGCAGCTACACCCTCACTCTGTGTTCCTGCCTAAGGTTGTATCCCAGTTTCATGTGAACCAAGGTATATTTTTACCTGTGTTCTTTCCTAAACTCTATGCCACAGGGAGCGCATGTTCCATTCCTTGGACGTTAGATATGCCTTGGCATTTTACATTGAACACATGAAGCCGTTTCGTAAATCACCACAGCTCTTTATTGCTATCACAGAAAGAATGAGGGGGCTCCCGATCTCATCACAGTGCATCTTGTCATGGATCACGTCGTGTATTAGGACTTGCTATGACCTGGCTAAAGTTCCAGCCCCTCCACTTATGGCGCACTCTACCAGCGTGCAGGCGGCGTCCGCAGCATTCCTGGTGCAGGTCCCTATCCAGGATATATGCAAGGCAGCAACCTGGTCTTCAGTCTACACCTTCACTTCACACTATGTCATCACCCAGCAGGCGAGGGATGATGCTGTTTTTGGTAGGGCAGTCCTGCACTCAGCGATCAGGTGAACTCCGACCCCTCCCCCTGGGTAACTGCTGGGAAGTCACCTATTGGAATGCACATGAGCAATCACTCGAAGAAGAAAAAATGGTTACTTATCTCTCGTAACTGTTGTTCTTTGAGATGTGTTGCTCATGTCCATTCCAAATCCCAGTGGCCACCTCCCCACCGTTGGAGTATTCTGGCAAGAAGGAACTGAGCAGGCGGCGGGTCGGCAGGGACATATATACACCACCATAAAGGCGCCACTGTAGGGGGTCTCCACAGCTGACCTGACAGGTACCACTAGGGGAAAAGCTTTCCGGCGATCATGCACGCGGCACATGCGCACACCTATTGGAATGGACATGAGCAACACATCTCGAAAAACAACAGTTAGGAGAGGTAAGTAACCATTTTTTATGGACTATCATCCAAGGTACAATAGTTAACTTCAGAAAAGCATTTAAACTCTCTCAAATTATTTTTAAGGACACTTCTTCAGTAAGATATCTAACTCTCCCTGCTTCTTCTGATCTGGTTTCTCTAGAAGTGGCAGAAACTTCAGGGGGAGTGGCTTTTTCTCACCTCATCCTGAATAACATTTCCTCTTTATGAAGAGGGAGGAAGCCAAGATTTTTCTTCTATGCTTTGTTTTTGCTCCACTTTATATTCTCACTGTTCTGCACTTTGTCAGAGAATCATAGAAATGTAGGGCTGGAAGGGACTTCAAGAAGTCAAGTCCTGTCCCCTGTGCTGAGGCAAGACCAAGTAAATCTAGACCACCCAGATAGGTATTTGTCTAGCCTTTTCTTTAAAACCTCTAATGATGGGGATGCCTCAACCTCTCTTGAGAGCCTATTCCACAGCTTAACTACCCTTATAGTTAGAAAGATTTTCCTAATATCTAACCTTAATTTCCCTTGCTTCAGAATAGGCTATTACTACTTATCCTTCTTCCAGTGGACGTGGAAGACGATCACATTCCTTTTTATAACAGCCCTTAACATATTTGAAGACTATTAGCAGGTCCCCCTCAGTCTTTTCTCAAGACTAAAGATGTCCAGTTTAGAAAAACTTTTCTCAAAGGTCAAGTTTTCTAAGCCATTTATTTATTTATTTATTTTTGCTATCCTCTGCGCACTCTCCAATTTGTCCACCACTTTGCTGAAATATGGAGCCCAGAATTGGACACAGTACTCCAGCTGAGGCCTCATGAGTGCCAAATACAGTGGGATAGTTCATCCCATGTCTTAGATTCAACACTCCAGCTAATATATGCCTGAATTATATTAGCCTTTTTTGCAGCTGCATCACATTGTTGACTCATGTTCAATTCACAGTTCATTTTAACCTCCAGATCTTTTTCAGCAGTACTACCACCTAGCCAATTATTCCCCATTTTGTAGTTGTGCATTTGATTTTTCCTTCCTAAGGTAGTACTTTATACTTGTCTTTATTGAATTTCACCTTGTGGATTTCAGACGAATTCTCTAATTTGTCAAGGTCATTTTGAATTATAATCCTTTCCTCCAAAATCCTAACAACCCCTTCAAGCTCGGTGTCATACACAAGTTTTATAAATATATTCTCCACTCCATTATCCAAGTAATGAAAATATTGAAAGGTACCAGACCCAGGACTGACTCATGTGGGACTCTACGAAATAAATCTCTCCAGTTTGACAGCAAACCATTGATAAACTAGTCTTTGAGAACCGTCTTTCAATTAGTTGTTCATCCACCTTATAGTTATTTCATCCCTTCTCCCATTTAGTTGTGCCCCAAAATGCACAGTTGTTGGAAGATAACTAGTGGGTACCTATTTTCAGCCATGTTTTTGAGAGAAGCTATGAAGTGGTGCAAGAGGGAACCTGATTTTTTGAGGGTTGTTGAAACTACCCAATCACACCTCAAAGTTCAAGGAGGGTTGGTCCATCCTTACTAGAAAATACTGCAATTTTTTATATATGGATTCCCTTTCTGTTAATGAATTGGCCAAATCCTGCAGTTCTCAGACAAAATTCCCATTGGAACTCGGTGGAAATTTTGTTTGAATGCAGACTGCAGAATCAGGTTCTAAAGCCTCAATTCATGAAAGTAGTTGAATATGTTCGTTATTCCCATTGATATCAGTGAGAGTTAAATGTTTTCCTGAATCAAGGCAGCCTGTATGTATTATGAATTAAGGAAATATTACCTGAAAAATCTGCTAAGTGTTTTATCTACATATTTTAGGTGTTTATAAGGCCCCTATTACACTGGTACCTAAATTGAACTGTACTCTACTTACTTTTTAGGAAATAATAAATTACAGTGAAAAGTGTTTTGAGGATAAATGTCAAATCAGCTATGAGGTAAGTTTCAATGTTTAGCGTGTGAGTGGGTGGGTTTAGGTTTTGTGGGTTTTTTACAATTGATCACTAAAACTCCTTACCTTACCTAATCCTTTTGTGCCAGGTCCCAGTCTCTGTTCTATTCAGATCCCTCCTAAAGACTTGCTTCCTTCTTGAAATGGTTGAAACCCTTCTTTATTCTTGTTAAAGAAAAATTTTAAAATGGACTTTTCAGTATTTCAGCCATTTTTAAGTCAAGTGCAAAGTACATTATATATTGTATTGTTACTTTGAGAGGGAAGCCATGGATTGATTTTTAGCATTCGCTGTTGACCAATGCCTTGTCTGTACCTCTATTTTATCTTTTAGTGGAGAAGTTACACCTAATTATCAGTGCTTTATTCTGCTGTAGTATCTTCTTGTTCTTAGCCTCAAATAAAGTACATAACTTAAGAATGGGTCAGACCAATACTCCATCTAGCCCAGTATCCTGTCTTCCAACAATGGCCAGTTCCAAATGCTTCAACAGGAATGTACAGAAGAGGGCAATTATCAAGTGAACCCTCCCCTGTTGTCCAGTCCCACATCTGGCAGTCAGAGGCTTCGGGACACCCAGAGAGTGGGGGTGCATCCCTGACCATCTTGGCTAATAGCCATTGATGGACTTTTCTTCCATTAACTTATCTAATTCCTTTTTGAATCCAGTTAGTTTTGGCCTTCACAACATCTCATGGCAATGAGTTCTACAGACTCGCTATGTGTTGTGTGAAGAAGTACTTCCTTTTGTTTGTTTTGAAACTGCTGCCTACTAATTTCATTGGGTGATCCCTCGTTCTTGTATAAGGCTCCATGTTTGTCACAGATTTTCTGTGACCTCCATGACTTCTGCAGCAGCTGATGTGCCTGGCCCGGGGGCCACCTGAGCACCTGGGCCATTTGCACTGGCTGCTGCTGGGGCAGTCTCGCTCCTAGCAACAGGAGTTTGGGGGAGGGCTCAGGGCTGGGGGTTGGGGTGCGGGGCGGTGCTTACCTAGGGCGGGCTCCCCGGAACGTCTACAGGAACTCCCCTCCCTCAGCTCCTAGCTCC